GGGAGTGAGATGAGGGGAGGGAGGAGCCGGGGTAGTAGCAGGGTTAAAGTTGGGATGAGGGTAAGGGTGGTGGTGGAGGTGGTGGTGGTGGGAATGAGAAATCTAGTTTAATGAATTGAGTTGCATTTCGACCGGGAACAGATAAGAGTTAACAGAAAGTCCGGGTAGTAGAAGTAACAGACCCCACATGGGAGCATACACAACCACCAGCAGACGTAGTTCTGACGTTCAATAGAAAAACAACGTAACTGCATATTTCATGATTGAGAAAAAACGCGAAAAGACTTTTGACCATTGTTGAGATCAGTCGCAAACGTTGACGTCATCACATTGAAAACTGCTATGGATTTTGGGTGCAGTTACGCCTTCCTGCCTTTGACAGAAATGTTTTTGTTTTATTTTAGTTGGGAATTTTACAGCACTTGCAAGTGCCGAAGATAATGAGTGAGACAAGAGAGTAACAAACTCAAAAAAGGAGAGATCGGAACGATAATGTAATTTGATAGCTAGGAAAGGAGTTAAAACCACACAAGAGCACCGGCCAACCATTCGTGACAAAAATGATGATATTATGCACATTACAACGTCGTTTTGCCGTGGGACGTCATAATTGTTTAGTTGTATACCCTGAGAAAAGATTCGCAGCAGCGCAATAACGGCTATTCTGTGCCCGGAAAGAACAAGACAGAAATTTAAAAAAGTGAACGGTAAGAAACAGGACCTACCAATAGCATCTTCAGTAATCCACACCATTTTCTAAGTTAAAAAACAAATCCTTTAAAACCTTGTGGTTATTAACTGACTACTTTGAGTTCCACATATAATGACTAACAACATACATCATGTGCATAAGAAGTGAGTCCCACGAACCTACGTCTATCTTTTAGTTTTAGTAACAGTTTTACAACACTTGCAACACAGTAATCTCGTATAAATGCCGAAGATTAGGGGTTACAACAGTACAGGAGGAGAGATAAGGACTATAGACGCTTGATGGGAAAGAAGGAGCAAAGCGATCGAACTGAAACCGTGGCGTTTTTTCTCGCCCATCTTTGTGTTCTTAGGGTACACCAAGCACTATCACTTTATTTGTTGAGTAAAGAGAATCCCATCATCACAACAAAGTTCATTTAGAGCATGGAAAAAGACAGACAAGAAAAAAATCCCCAAAGTGAAAGAAAAAGAAGAAAACGCTCCCTCCACACTGCCCCCTCAAACCATACACTGCACCACAATCGTCCGTGAACAGTTGCAGAACACTAAAATAACTAACACTAGTAACAATAGTCGCGACAACGATAACAGAAGCACAATAACCACATTAATAGTTACAGTTACAATGCAACAGTAAGAGCACAAATAACAGCGACAATAATACGACAATAACCACTGCAGCAAATAACAGTAACAAAATATACAACGTAACAATAGTAGCAACAATAACAGCCAAAAACAGAAATAACGGGGACAAAAGTAACAACCTCAACAACAGACAGTATCGTAGTAACAGCAGTAACAACAACAACAACGATATAATCACACCACTACCACCACCACTAACAAACCTTCCATTCAAAGCATCCCAGTTTGAGTAGTAGTAGTAGTATAAGGTTTTACGGCGCTCGCAACTGCTAAGGTCATATGAGCGCGCGAAACACAAGTTGTTCACCTCTGC